AAGGGAGGCAGTAGCTGTTCGGATCACTGCCTATCAGTAACAAATGACTAGGTCATATAACAAGAAGGTCAGCCCCAGGTCTTTCCTGCTTAGGGATATGGTTCTCAGGAGGGTTATGGGGTCTACCAAAGAATCAGCTCACGGAAAGCAAGGGGCTAACTGGGAAGGACCTTATAGGATAACTTGGGTTATTGGAAACGGGTCTTATGAGATTGAGAGTATGGAACAAAAGTGAGTTCCCAAACCTTAGAATGTTTCCAAATTGAGAAAGTTTTATTTTTGAAGTACCTACATAATTAGAACTCCAAAGTACTTTTGGAATACTCCTTACAATTGTATTCTCTTTTTGATTGTTAATAAACCCCCTCTTATGAAGAAGTAAATTCGTTCATAATAAAAGTATACATTCGCATTCTCATTCTACTATTAAGGCAGTGAGGCAAAAAAACCTATTAGAGGCTTAGGCCTGACTCAGGCGCAGCCACCTGATTGGACCCAGACCCATGGTTAGGCATGACGATGTAAACCAAAAGGGTAGAGGTCTAAGCCTGATTTGATCGACAGGTCGGTGCAAATAGAATAACTTGCAAAACTCTGTAGTTAAATGTGTCCCTAGTAAGAATGCTGGGACCTAACTCTAAAGAAGGGCCGAGCAAGGCCAAAACTTTTGAGCAAAGTTTTTTCGTGTCTCTAGCAAGAGTGCTGGGACCTAGCTCTAAAGAAGGGCCGAGCAAGGCCAAAAATTTTGAGTAAAGTTTTTCTAAGTTAAAATGTGTCCCTAACAAGAGTGCTGGGACTTAGCTCTAAAGAAGGGTTGAGTAAGGCCAAAACTTTTATGTGTTCCTAACAAGAGTGTTGGGACCTAGCTCTAAAGAAGGGCCGAGTAAGGTCAAAACTTCTGAGAAAAGTTTTTCTAAGTTACAATGCATCCCTAGCAGGAGTGCTGGGACCTAGTGTTGAAGGCCAAAAATTTTTAGTAAAATTTTTCTAAGTTAAAATGCATCCCTAGCCGATGTGCTGGGACCTAGCTGTAAAGAAGGGCCGAACAGAGCAAAAATTGTTAAAAATCAAGTCTTTCTAAAGTTAAGCAGAAGAGATATAAACAAGAAGATTTTTCATTAATGATCAATAAAAAGTGTTCCTCTTTACATGAGTTTTCAGGAGGCAGAAAGGGTATCAGAAGAGCTAGGCATAGAATGACGCGAATAGAGTTTAGATGAAGGAGGAACATTAGCAGCCTTCAAAGCAGTAGCCCAACTTTTTGCAAAGTATGCCTTCTCCAGTGAAGGGATCTGTAGAGCAAGGTCACTTTCAACCTTCTCCATTCCTTGGTCAAAGGCAGTATCTTCGAGACTCTTCACCTCAGCCTTGAACTTGACAAATTTTTCCAGTAAAGAGGAATGTTCAAGCTGAATTTGTGACAAATCCAGGCTAAGGGAACTCTCAGAAGCCTTCAGAAACCTCCACCTCTTTAACCAGCTTATCATTCTCCTCTTTCAGGCTAAGAGATTGAGCCTAAAGGAGAAGTGTTTCGTTGCAATGCTTGGCATATTCTTTATCAATGGCTTCTTTCTTGGCTAGGGCAGACATGCGATCATAGATCGCCTCCTTCATAGCTCTGTCCTTCCTAGCAATTTTGGCATTCACTTCATGCACCTTTTGCAAACTTTTTTTGGAACGTAAAAAAAAAAATTTCAAGTACACAGGATGAATTTGAGAAACAAGAGAACAAGAAATTATAGACCAAGAGAAGTACCAGAACCATTCATTGAATAGCCTACCGAGCAATCTCTTTATCCGAAGCCGCTTCATTCATTGCAAGGTCACGTGGCAGAGTCACACCCCTAGCAATCCCTATCGACACATTCATGTCTTTAGTGGCCAAGTCCCGAATAGTGATCTCCTTACCCTTTGCCTGAAGTATGGGACGAAAGACATTCTTTGTTCGTTTAGGAGATTCAAGCCATCTTTTTTTGGTCAAATGCTCATCAGGCTCAATATCAATGTGTTAAGGAGAAGAAGTGATGACAGGAGCAACATTCTTGTTAGATGGGGGCTCGGAAGAAGGAATCAGAGTGACAACGGGAGGATCAACTATTGAGACCTCAGGTTCTAACTCGGTGGGTAAATTGACTGTAGCAGGGACAGGAACTTCAGTGGTTGCTAGAAGGTCGGTAGGGTTGGAGGCATGATCAGGGCCGAGTGTTAGACCGATTGGCTGGGTAGACTAAGAAGTTGTTTCAACATGAACCGACAACACCGAAGAGGTAGCCTCGCTAGGTTCATTGGCATAAAGAAGGTTGAGGAAGTTCTTAACTGGTCTACTCCGTCTAGAGGGAGTAGTAGTTTTCTGGTGAGCACGAGGGGTGGCAACACGCTGGGCTTGGAGCTCGGCTCTATCTTCGGCAAGAGTTGCGTTGGCCCGATCAAGAATGACAATGAATGAATGACATGTGGGGGGATACCCTAACAGGACATGAGTAGTTCAGCAAAAGAGACTTTCATTTTAGGACCACATTTTCCTCAAGTCCTCCATCTTTACCGAACTCTCATTAATTTTGCCCTTGACAGTCTCTCTTGGATGTAAAAGTAGAAGATTAAAAAAAAAAATTCTTGAAAACAAATTATTATATTCTTGGTACACCTTCTTCATAAAGGGCATCGGTAAGAAGGAGTTTCTCCAACACTGTTCTCCCAATTCTCAGAGACAAGTATGATATCATTTTCGTGACCTTTGTTTGAGTCTGAGAGGTGGGTGACCAAGTGTCTGTCTTTCTTTCTCACTTCCAAGTAGTACCTGTCACTAGTAGTCTTTAGAATGTAGTAGAAAAGAATCTCCCAAAGGCCTAAGTTGATGTTCAGTAGATTGTTCAAAACAGCAACGCCCTTTACGATTCTGAGAAAGTTAGGGCATCACTGGATGGGGCAAAGTTTTGTAGCTGCAATAATCCAAAGCAACAAGGGATGCAATGGGAATCTTACCCCACCTTCGGTGATGGCCCCTCGTGTGAATAGGGATTGATTCCCTAGTTCCGATTTGTGGTTCGTCATTCCCCGCAACTCTAATGTTGACATCATCAGGGAAATTGTATTTACTCTTGAATGCTGGAATGCCTTAAGTTGTGAGGGGAGCCATTTGAAAGTGGATGCAAAAATAGTGAGACCATAAGAGCTTTGAGGAAAACATAATGAAGAAGAAGACGATAGGCTAGGTACAGAAGAAATAAAATTGAAACATTTTATATTAAGAAAAGAGGGAAGTTAAGAAGCTAAAGGACGAGCATTCAATGAGAAGAGACAATTGCGTGTCTCGAAAACCCAAGCAAGCATGAACCTGAAAACATGAAACGGCTGTTAGAAAAATGACGGTTGACATGCACTTTCATGGGGGCAAGTGAAGGGACATAAAGATTATACCACGTGTAAATTGTCATGCAAGGATCACATGAGGGTTTAAGCTCTGCTGTGCCCAAACTGAATTGACCAAGTCGGTAGTAAAGTTGAGCAGAAACACCTCGGCAAGGAAAATAAGAACCAAGCAACATGATCATAACCCACATTTAAGGGATCTGATTGTATCAATTAGGTAACTCTAAATAGATCATGAGTTGTGATCAAGGGAGCGTTAGGAAGATCTTGAGGAGACCTAACAGATAATGCTGAATCAAAAGGGGATGAGTGATCCTCTCCATTACAATGAGATAACTGGAGTCTATATAAACCAGCAAGGGGGAATAGCAAAGGTACGAAAGATCCCTCTAGAACACTATTCTATTCTCTTTTTTCCATTTACTGACTTAAGTATCGAATTGTCTTCGATCGAGATATTTCGATCTTAGATAGTTTGTTAGTTTTTGTAGGAATCTTGATTCTGCGCGAGGATAACATAGCTTTCTAGGAAGTAAGGGAATCTCTTCCTCTTACAAGTGGTAGCAACAACAAAAACCCAATTGTTTTGGTTTTGATTCTGATTTTTATTTTCAATTTGATTCTAATTTCAATTTATTTTTTGATTCATGTTTATTTTTTTGGAAAAAATATGGAATTAAGATGTTGAAATACAAATTTTGAGTTAAGTTGAGGTATGAATTGAGAAGATGCACCAGTTTGTATGGCGTAGGCGGGTGGGCTGTCGTGGGTGATGGAGTTATGAATGCTGGAATTCAGGAAAGGGTTGGGATGTCAAATTTAATGGTGACGACGATGATGGCTAGTTTGTCAGAGTTATTTTGGGAATTTTTTTTTTTAAATTAAAAGATAAATTGATGGGTATTAAGGTCATTTTAATGTAAAAGTTAACAGAGTTAATGGTGCATTTTGGTCTATCAACCATAAGGGGGTTAGTGCCATTTTAGAACCTAAGGGAGGTGATGTGCAAATTGGTCAAACCATCAGGGGGTTAGTGCCATTTTAGAACCTGAGGGAGGTGATGTGCAAATTGGTCAAACTATAAGGAGGTAAAATGAAGTTTCCTCTTTAAATTTTAGAGTCAAAATTGGACTAATAATGCTACATGGATAAAAATTAGATTTGATAATCACAACTATTGAATAGTTAGTGAGTTCTAATAAATGTTGAGATTCACGATAAAATCAATAATTATAATTATCAAGTTTACGCCATCCGTTCTTAAATATCTGTCATTTTACACAATTTTTTTTATTTCATAATATCTGTTGTTTAATAAAATCAAAATATAATTAATATTTTTTCTTCCAAATTTACTCTTAACTTTTCAATGTATTATATTAGGTGGAGGCTTTCATATTCATTTCCTTCCCAATACGTATTGAATAAGAATATTTTAATCTTATATAATTATTTTTTATTCATTTTAAAACTATTTAATAATTTTCTTCGTTCCTGCGTAAAAACATTCTACCTTACGCCGACTTAAATTTGAAACCGAAAATAAAGAAATTCAAATTTGATTGCGTTGGCTTTAAAGGCCGATTTGACCTCCCCCACGGTGGCGCACCCAGTTCAAATCTACCGGCATCATGAGAGGCAGTGTCGACGGTAGACGTCCTCCGAGGAAGCTCTCTCCGGCCACCACTTCAAACAAACGCAAACACTCTCCAATTGCGAAGCATTCTCAGTCTCGTCGTCGTCATGACAGCCCAGAGAAACGAATATTAATCTCAGAAACTAACACCCTAGCCGTGAACCGAACTTTGCATACGTGCACGAATACGAACTCGTTTGCATATAAGCAGACGAGTTCGTATGCATATGCGCACCGGAAGTCTACGAAACAACACAGAAGAAAGAAGGCGGAGAGTACAGATGGTCATCGAAAGTGGGTTTACTCAACTCGCGATTGTTCCAATTTCAAAGGTAAATAAAATTCATTTCTTTTTGCCACACATATACACTGAAGAATCCATGTTTTGCTTGAATTATAATGCTTATTAGCTATATTATTGATCTATTTGCAAATTAGGGTGAATGGTGGTGTGTTTCTATCGTTAATGTTGTAATTGGATGGCCATTGTCCATTTTTTTGCAGGTTTCAAACGTAGCATGTATGTTTTTAGTTTTACAGGGGAATAACAATGGCAATTTTAATTTTTACACGAACTTTTTTTCCCTCCCTTTTGGGGCCCTTAGTTACTTGGAGCTTTGGTGGTCTGCAAAACTCAAAAAATTTGGGTCCTTTGTTGGAATAGTAGGTTGTAAAAGTAAACACCAATAATATACTTCAAGATGGGGGGAGAATATCCTGTTCTCCTTTTCAACTTCCCACATCTCGCTCTCTCCTTAGGGCGAACCTATAGGAATTCCATCTTTCCTGATTCATGATATCTATCAATTCTAAGCCCTATCAAGTCGGTTTATCTCAATCCAGTTTTCTAAAACTAGGTCTTTCTTCATATTTCCGCAATCTTTGTTTGTTTCTACTATTCTATAATTCCTCTTTTCTATTGTACTGTCTATCATTCCATTCTCTTGTCTTCTTCCATTGTTCCATCATTTCTTTTGTTTGTGATTTCTCTGGGAGTAACTGCTCTCTCAGTCAATGTGTCCGAAAGTATCTAGGGGAAAATTTTTATCGATAACCTTATCAATACTTTGGTTCTTAAGAGTACTATGGCTTTAGTTTGGGGGTGCAAAGGCTTAAGAATTATCAAAATTAATTCTACTGGTTTCCAATTCTTCTTTCAAGAATCTCAGGTTCTACAGAAGGTGTTAGTGCAAGGCCCGTGGTGTTTCGACAATCAGTTTATATATTTTAGCGTGTGAAGAGGAGCAGTGGAATTATAATTATTGGTTACATTTAACACCGGATGTATTTATGTTTTGGATTTCTTTTGAAAGATACCGTTGGGCTGGAACCTCAACGCATGATAAATGAAGTAAACCTTGTTCATGTTTATAAACTTGTGAGCAATTATATCCTTTGAGTGCTATAGGACCAATTAACCACCTTTTTTCCCCCTCTATGTGAAGGAAACAAATCAGTGTGGATGCCTCTGAAATGAGCCTTATCACCCTTTTAATATATTCTAATTGCCATGATGGTCCTATGCTTTTGCTGATCCACTAGGATAGTCAAATTGCGTCAATACCAATGTCTAAACCCTATGGACAGATGGTGAATAGGTGTTTGTCACAACTTTACCAAATTAATCACGAGACAATACCAATTCAAAATTTTGTGGGATAAAATGACTAATTAAGCAGTTTTAGGCAATCGTATGTCACGATTCAATATGATGAACCAACGTCTTTAAGTTCAATATATCTATGACCATAGTTGTGAATATCTTATGATACATTTTGATACAGTACCCAAATGATATAACTCTTTAATACCCCCTATAATACAAATAACCAAATGACCCCTTAGGGCCTAATACAAACCATAACCATGTAGCATTCCTTGAATTCACCAAATTTTTTCCTCAAATCAACATGTGCTTTGTAGCTTTCATTACTTATTGCAATCTTTTGTTGCACATCATGTGTCTAACACATATATTTGGCAAAAAAATTGGCCTCAATACTAGGACGAGCCTCAAAGGGTAATGGAACCAAATTAATTTGTTTTCTTGGAAGTAAACCTCTCACATTCTCAAAGGGGCTGCGACCTGTAGATCGATTTATTTATAGAGCTTATGTAACCAAATTAACCATAGAAGTACTTGATCTCAATTAGCAACATGATTACCAACAAGACAATGAAAGAGATCACCTAAACTGTGATTAACAACTTCTATTTGCCTGTCGTTTTGGGGATAATTTACCTGTTGGTTTGCTTCTTGATTCTCCAATCTCTTAATTCTCATAATTCCCTCCATTATTACCAACTTCATAATTTTCTCCTTGCACATCAGATGTCACACCATCATTGGGTTGAGTGGTTCAACTTTATACATCACTTAATCGAATTGAGATATTATTGAGTTGCTCCTCCATTTGAAAGAGCATCTCATCTTAGTGCCCATCTGTCAATTGCCCACAAAACAATCTTTCCAAACATGTAGACATATTTGATCCTCGTTTTGATACAAAAATTGATGCATAATTGCAGTGTCAAATCAAAATTAGTATTTTCTGGGAATAGTGGCATAAACAGTAATTCGACTAGGAATCACTCCTAGAGTACCTTAGGCGTCACACCTGGGGTTAGGGATGGCAGTGGACGGGAAAAAAATAGATATTAGTCCAAATTCGTCCTGTTTGGACCAGGGATGGACTATTTACATTGGACGGTAGACGTATACAGGGATATCTGTATAAATTCGTACGGAGATGAAGGCGGGGATGAACTTACTTTTACCTTCTCCCCGCCCAGTCCCATTCCGTCCCCGCTATACCCGTTAAATATATATATATATATAAAAATACTCCCAGTTAAAGGCTTAAAGCCCTAACTTATTCTCCAGTCCCTCTATTAGCCGCTCGCCTCCATCTCTCTCTCTCTCTTACACACACACACACAGTGACACAGACACCCATCACCCCGCCTCCATTGCTCTCGTTGATCGCTGCACTCAGCAGCTCCTCATAGGTCACAATTGACTGTTTCCTTGCTGATCGTTGCATCTATCACTTGCTAGCAAATTTTCGACTCAGTTCTTCGATACACAGATCTGTATGTATATGATTTCTCTAATTTTGTATATTTGACATCTGAGAATGAAAGGCTCATTTGTATGTATGATCGGTGGGTTTTTTTATATGATTTTTCTAATTTTTTATTTGACATCTGAGAATAAAAGGCTCGTCAGTATGAATTAATTGGTGTTTTGTTTCTTTGTTGCTTTGATTGTAATTTTTCTTCTGTAGCTGTGGATTGGAGTGGTGTTAATCTGGAATCAAATTCATTTACTCAAATCTGAATTTTTGACTCTTTGTAAGATTTCCCTTTGAGGTGGTTTTTTCACATGCTAGAAACTTTGTGCTTTCAAAGCTACTTCCCCCCTTTGTAATTGATGATGAGGAATTGCAATTATGCTTGTTTTTAAAGGTCATCAATTGGTCTTGCTTCTATTTCTTCAATTTTGATCAAGGCATATCACAAGGATTCTGATTTCAGGACTTATTCCTTTTATCTTCTGATGATTTGAAGAAGGGTATAGTGAAGGGTCCTTAATAAGAGTAGGATTGATTTCTGGTTCACTAGGTTTCACCTTTTTTTTATGTAATTTATTTTAGCTTGGGACCTAGAGGGACTTGATTGAATTCAAGCCCTAGGCATACTTGATTGAATTCAAGCCCTAGGCATAGTTTGTTATAGAAGAAACTACGTAGTTTTTTTTATTATTTGTAAGATGTGACACCTATGATGGCAGATCCAGGTGTGATAACTGCTCTGGATCATCTTTATCCCATTTTCACTCTCTTTTTGCGATCTTCTCTGTCCACTTCAAAGTCCTGCATGAATTACCAATTTCATGTTATATTGCATAAAGTCATTCAAATTTTTTTTAATAGTATACCAAAAATGATTTTCTTTAGTGAGATTATGTGCTTTTTAAGTTGTACTTACTAGTATACAGAGTTCAACCCTCATAGTCCAAAGTGACCCTCCTTAGGGGCATGGAGATTAGTCCAATTTATTTCGTAATGAGTGTAGATTTGTTTTATTATAGTTTGGTTTCTACTTAGTTGACTTTTACATATAGTTGATTACAAGCAATAGAAAGAGAAGAAGTGAGAAATAATATGTCAACTCCTGAAACTTCAGCAACACCGAGTGAAAGCAACCAACTTCCAATCTCTATTGATGAAAATCAATCTACCAACTCAACTCCAATGACTCTTGGTGAAACAGATAGACATAGATCAATTGTGTGGAATCATTTCAAGAGGAAAACAACTGATGAGAAGTTAAAAGCTAAGTGCAATGAATGTAAGAAAATACTTGGTGGTGGTGCTAAGAATGAAACTACCCACTTGCATGACCATTTTAAAAGTTGTCTGAATAAGAAATATAAAAATTTGAAGTAATGTTTATTGGTATCAAACCAATCAAAGAAGGATATTGAGAAAACAATGGAGAACTGGTGATTTTTTCAAGAGGTGGGGAGGAGGGATCTTGCCAATATGATTATTCATGAATATCCTCTTAGTATGGTTGAGTATCACAGGTTTCAAAAATATTGTCACACTTTTCAACCAATGTTCAAAAAGATATCCCGGAACACTCTCAGAAATGATATCCTTTAAATTTACAAAACCGAAAAGGAGAAGACAATGAAGTTGTTGGACAAAATAAAAAGTAAAGTTGCTATCACTACAGACATTTGTTCCTCAAACAATCAAAGAAAGGGATATATGACAATCATCACACACTTTATTGACAATTCTTGAACATTGTAAAGTCGAATTATAAAGTACTAATGATCTTTCATTAGCATGTGTTATTTATTATAAGGTACTAATGATCTTCCATTAACATGTGTTATTTATTATTTTTAGATTTTTTTTATGTGTCTTATCCACATACCAACGAAGTACTTGTGGAGTGTTTGATGAATTACTTTTTCGATTGGAACCTTGATAGAAAGTTGATAATTTTGACCTTGGATAATTGTACCACTAATGATGCAATTGTGGCTATTTTGTTGGATAAACTTCCATTTGTTTCATTAATATTGCATGGTCGGTTGTTCCATATGCGTTGTTGTGCACAAATGTGAAGCTACATGGCATAAAAGTTTCTCCATTACGTTGTTTGTGTTATGTTGAATTATATCAAATTCAAGTAGTATTTTGGACATTTGTTGTTTGTGGTATGTTGGAATATGTTATACTACATTATATTGTGTTAGATTATGTTAGATTATTTCGAATGTTGTTGAATTTTTTAAAATGTTGAATTTATTTAGAATTTTGGATTATGTTGGCTTGAGCTTGGGCTTGGGTTTGGGCTTGGGCTTAGGCTTGGGAGGGTACGGGGGAAGCGGGGACGGGGGTAAGAATTAGAAATTTATTCGCAGACAGGGATGAGGATGAAAATTATACCCGTTAACGGGGGTGGACTAAAAATGGACAGGTTTTTTTAAGTGGGTACGGGGCTGGAGATTACACCCCTTGCCTCTGCTTCGGTCCACTGACATGCCTACTTGGGGTTTGAATTGCATCACACAACCCAAATACATATATTTGTTGATTTTTTTTTTTTTTTTGAAGATACCACTCTATCTCTTTTCAAAATATGACTAGATATATATAGAGTTTCATGTAATTCCAAATCCTAAAAGGTTAGGATCCTAGAACTCTAAACTTTAGAAACATCTAACGCTAGAATTTGACCCAAAAGACAACCCACGGGTCATATTTTGACCTGCTCCAAAAAATTTGGAAACTACATAAATACTCCCTACTCTAAAAACACTAATTCCACCAAACTAACTCAAAGCAATATAAATAAGACCTAATTTTGTCTATGCAAGCTCCCAAGTAGGCTCCGCATCATTGGACATGTGTCAATTCAAGCTTGTGCCTTGGAAGCATCTTTTCCGCGCCTTTTATAAACTATATACCGTTGTTGCCACTTGTCTTGATCACCATTTATATATTTGGTGTGGTTTTATGCTTGAACAATTCAATCAAATAGATAGATAGATAAAGAAAACAATTCCACTGTTTATTTTTGAAACTGAATCCTGGACAAGTTACTTATATTCAATTACAAATTCCATAGTAACAAGCTTACTCTATACTTCTAATTTATTTTAAAAAGCTGATTATAAGGTGTATGGGTATGCATGAAATCACACAGGACCTGCTATTCTATTTTGACCAAGTTGAAGAACCCAAAGCTCCAGTGTTGTTCTTCATGACTTGCTGCACAAAGCATTGGTGCTTGTTATCCAAGAGACTCGATCAAATTCTTTTTTTTTCTTTTTCTTTTTAAATTGCATTTGCCGTGTTCTTTTTATAGCTGGTTCAGATCTTAAATGAAGCTAATATCGAACCTCGTGCATTTTTTTTTTTGTGTTTTCTGCAGCTCGATCTTTTTCCTGAATGTTGGAATTCAGCAACCATTTGCTTCTATTAAACTGCATTTTCATTTGTGCAGATAGGATTGTTTTTGTGTCATATAATGTACTCGGTGTCGAAAATGCCTCAAAGCATCAAGACTTGTACTATAATATCCCGCCAAAATTTTTGGATTGGGACCACAGGAAGAATCTTATACGGAAGGAGCTCAATTTTTACCACCCGGGCATTCTTTGTTTCCAGGCAAGTGTCTTTTATCCCATTTACTGTGTTCATTACTTCCACGAACTGGTGGACTAAAGATTGAGTTATTTGCATTTCTTTTTTCGGTACATAAGTTATTTGCATTTCAAAGATGCATTCATTGCAACTGGTAACATCACACTTTTTTTTTTCTAAATATTTTTTGCTCTCTTTTTCATTGCTTTAGCATTCAAAAAATAACTAAATACATGAAGATCTAAAAACAATGCAGCCATAATATGCTTTTAGGTGAGAGTAGGGTAGTATTCTAAGTCTATAACATGGACTTTTAGATTATAAGGTGACAAGTTCTTATTGCAGTTGACATACCTGCCCCTTGGGATTTAATTTTTCCTTTGAAGTCAGTGAAGTTATGTGTTTCATAACCACTGTGACTTTCTTAATATAATGATAACAATGGAAAAAAGTAGTTTAGATATTTCACGTTCAAACATGATCTGAAAATTTGTTTCTCAAGCAGAGGCATTTGTTGCATGTATTCATCGATGGCGTTGCTTCTTTGTAAAGTAATACTATGACTGCAGGAGGTTGACCGTTTTGATGATTTAGACAATCTTCTACAAAAAGATGGCTTTAGAGGTGTTTACCTGGTACGTCTTAAAGCTTGTTCAAGACCTGTACTCTGGTAATGTCTTATGAGTCAAAAGTTAGATAAAAATTCCATTTTCATTTCTACAAGGCTCGTACTGGTGAAGCATGTGATGGCTGTGCGATATTTTGGAAAAACGATCTGTAAGGTTTTTCATTCTCTTTGAATATCACCACATTATACAGGCACACAGCTTCTTATGGTGGCCATGCTTTGAACTTTTCATATAAGTTACTGGTCCACTTTAAGCTTTTTCTCTTTCTTATTTTTCTTGCCAACCTTTTCCTAGGTCTGTTGGAAAAGAACTACAATTGTACAAAAACACATTTAATATATTGTTAAACAGGAACAGATTACATTGATGGATGTGGTTTGTAGTTTCTTCACAGTTCAGGCATTGAAGTTTCTGTTGAACATGGACATGTCCTTTGTAAAATATATTCAAGTCAAAAGCTTTTGAGTATCTTCTTGCATATTATTTTAGATTCTGTTCTACGTTTTTTTTAGTTGCCTACTTCAGTATCTGACCATCGTCAACTCATATTTCAAAAGCAGATTTACCCTTTTGCATCAAGAGAACATAAAGTTTGAGATGTATGGCCTTCGGCACAATGTTGCTCAACTTTGTGTTTTGAAGGTATGTAGATTTCTATTTGGTTTGCTCTAGTTCATATTGGATTTAATGTAAGATCAGACCTTAATTAACTGATTTCTGTAAAAATTATTTTGCATTTGCACTACAAAATATTATTTTAGCACTGGATTCTATGGAGAAGGGAACTACTACATCATTGTCATCATCTTTGGCTTGATGGCTTGCCAATATCATCGTAATTCTTATAGCTTCTAGCTCCATAAGGTTTAGACTGCCAATAGTTCTTGTGAACATTATCATTGGTTTGAGGATGCAACGGTTCATGTCTAAGAAGCACGGACACGGGACACAGATACGACACGACACGGACACGCCGACACGAAATTTTTCAAAAAAGTAGGACACGGATACGTTAGCGATACGTTAAATAATATGTATTTTATGTATATATATATATTTATATAAAATCATGTGATAAAATAAAAATATTATCATAATAATCTTTTAATTCATTATTTTCTTAATTCTAAAAATTTACATCATGATATCATTGCATGAAAAGTATAATATAAGTTATATTAATACACATATAATATTAACATCCATAATTCAATAATCAATGACTTTTACAACTTTTACTTTAAAAATATTTCATTTCGTAATACTAATTTTCATCAAATTGTAAGAGTTCCAATTTTGTAATCCCATTTTTTCTCACATTACTTTCATATTAAAAGACTATTCCATTTGTATATAAGTTCGTATTCATAACCAAAATTATATTATATTCATGTCTTATGTTCAATGTAATTATCATAACTTCTTTTATATTATGATTGTGACTCATATCCCTTTAAAATTATAAAAATAACTCCTAATTATAAAATTATCTGAAAAGTTCTCAAAAAAATTGAAAATAAATCTCAAAACGTGTCTCCCAGCGTGTCCCAACATGTCCTGAACGTGTCGGCCACGTGTCCTAAAAAAATTTTAATAATAAAAAAATCGGACACTCATTTTAACGTGTCCGAAGCGTGTCTGTGTCCTAGACGTGTCCGACATCGACACTCTGCCCAAAATGAAGTGTTCGTGCTTCCTAGGTTCATGTGGTCCGCTAAATGCAAATGTATAGCGTCAAATGTCTATGCCCATTATAGAGACTGGACTCGTGGGTTTGTTATCGATCTTTGTGGGCTGTAAACTCTATGACTTTAACATGACTGTATTTCTCTGTTCTGTTCGTAATTTAATCTTTCGTGGCATAGTGACGTGTTAAACTTTGACCTATTTGGATGAAGAGATCAACATCAATCATGGAAGTTTATGAAAATGTGATGTACCTTGGATTGGTTATATTTATTTGGGTGTGTGCTTATGATTCAGGGTCTGTCCACTATCAATTAATTTTTGAAGTGACATGACATTAATGATTAAGCTAATCGATTGTTAGCTTAATGACATGAGGAATTATTATTGTTAAGCTTCTGTTGAATATTTTTGAATTTGCCCGTTTGAGTGGAGTTTTGTGAAGATCATAGGAACTTGTAGTAGCTCAGTTGCTGACCTCCTTGTCTCTTTCTTACCCTTTTGATTCCTTTACTACATCTTTCCTCATCATTGTCTGTTTGCACTTTTTCTCATTGTTGGGAAACTCAAAAAGCTGCTTAAAGCAAAATTTTGTGTTTCTTGGCTTTAGAAAGGCCACTCTTTAATCTTGTGTGGAAAGTCAAGACATTAGATTGGTTATTTTCTCTCCAGTTTTTGTAATTGTTAATGGAAATTTTTTTCAGAACTTATCACCATGTGTCTCGCTTACCCATTTAATTGTATGGATACTGTAGTTTATTTTTGAAATGCCCCGACTTGTAAAGATTAAGGAACTCAAATGGGCAGGTATTTCAAGTATTATTCAATGTGATAGCTGTGGTTTTAGCAATCATTTTTTAATATGGAAGTTTAATGTTTGGTTTTTATTAGAAAGGCAGTTTATCCTTCAGATTATGATAGATATTCTTTGTGACAGTAATTTTAAATAACTCTCTCTTTTTTGTATCATTTAGATGACACAAAATGAGTCGAACACAGATGGAAATACTCAAATGTCACAGTAAGTTTCGCTGTGTTGTGTTGTAATCTTCAGTACTTGAAACATAACAAAAAAGAATGCAGTTGCCTTGATTTTTCTTCCGACAGTTTTTTTGAAGTACAGTATTTTGTCTTCTTGGCTAGTCATTTGTTTATATTTTTAAAATTCGACATCTTTACTATTTAAATTACCTAAGTGTACTTGTTTAGGGCCCTGCCATCTCGAAGCTTTGTGGTGGGAAATATACATGTCCTCTTCAATCCAAATCGTGGAGACATTAAGCTGGGCCAGGTATTTGTTTTGTTAAGTTGTACGAAGTTTTGGAACATGATTTTACCATCTAAACGTGCCAGTGTCTTTAGATCAATGGTATACGCATTCTAAATTTTCCATTTTCTTGTCTTTTTCTTTTATTGTCCAATTACGGACGTGGGTAATTGTGGTTGTATTTTGTTTTAATGGCAAAAAAATTTTTTCATTATGTTTTTCTTTTCCTTTTTCTTCCTTTTTTTTGGGATTGAGGTTGGACTAAACTGCATGTTTGTGCAACTACATGCTTTTCGTATATCATGTATTTCAGTGACATGCATATGTAGCTTCAACAACATGCTTTTTTTTTTTCCAACTCCTTTCGTCCCTTAATTTTTTATTCATCTTGTTTAAAAAATTAAGGCACACTCATAAGATATGATGACATAGTTTTGTAGGGTCTCGCTAAGGGCAATCAGAATAAGTTGGACTTGTTACAAGGATTGGCATAATTGCATTTGCCTTCATGATAGCATAACATCTAATGGATAAATTGTCCCGAAAGTAGTTTGGACTCCGCGAGTTGTGTAAGCAAATGACCCATTAATAGATAAATCACTTGGAGAAGTTTTGTCAAGGAAGGGTTTTGTGATTCAGAGATAATGATTTTAATTGAGTGCTGAGGGATGCATAATAGCATGGGGGTATTTCTTGTTGCTTTTGAATTTGTTTCCATGTTATTGGTTGCGCATCTTAAGGGGACAAGGGTTGAAAGTTTAGGTTCCACTGGAGCATTTTACCCTCACATGAGCCAAGAGGAGTTTGCAATGACCTTGAAGCAGCCTAAATTATCTGCCTAGTGGAGGAGCAAAAGGAGGAATAAAATATTGGACTACTAAGAGAAAAGTTAAAAATAACAAATGGCACAGTAAAAACATTTTGAAAAATTTCAATGATAAAATTAGTACTAAATAGTTGTGATGCTACCTTCAGAGGCTCCTGATGTTCATGGAACAAAATCTCTAACCTCACTTGAGATGAGAATGCATTTGATGAGTTTAGACAGATAGCTGTAAAAAATCAATGACAACTTCCAAGGAGAAGGCCTGAGCCATGAAAATTGCAAAGGGAATGGTCACAACTGCAAGGTAATTGACACAAAAAATCTCCTTTTCAGAAAGGCCCCAAGGGATAATTTTCTAGGAATGAAATTTTAATTATTGACATGAATAAAATGAGACTTTAATGAGAATGTGTACATTTATGTTTGTGGTGGTACCCCAGAAAAGGAATGGCCTAGAACCTCAGTGTCAGAATTTTACCACTCAATTGACGCGTATGGTTTCTCATGTTTTTGATAGACTAGTTTTTCATTGAAGTATATGTCATATGTGCTTCCACAATGCTCCCATTGATGTATTGTTAATATGCTGATGTTTGCAATGACATGTAATTCATATCTGGCCAGGTTCGACTGTTTCTCGAGAAGGCCCATAATTTATCACAGGAATGGGGTAGCATACCAGTTGTCCTTTGTGGGGACCTTAATAGTGTGCCACAGGTAATTAATTGACATGTAATTGTTAATCAGTAGTTTCTGAAAAATGCAATGGATTATTTTCTTTTGTCCCTATATGTTTATACTTTTCTGTTCATCTTCTGTTCAGAGTGCAATATATCAATTTCTGGTGTCATGTGAGGTGAGTTGTGGCTCAATGTCTTGGCTAAACTCCTAAACACTATTAATTAGATATTCTTACCCGTTTTCTTAATAATACCTCCATTTCTCATCTTTCCATGGTGCTATTCTAGATTTGAAATCAAATTTGTTTGAATTTGTTTTAGTTGGACATCCAACTACATGACCGAAGGAAAATATCTGGCCAGATATGCCCACTGGAGTACCATCCCTTCCAGTCTCAAAGTGGAAATGCTGCTAGGTTTGCTCAAATTTCTTTGCAGACTATATCTTGTATACGGTAAATTAAGTCTTGGCCCCACATAGAATTGAGATGGTTCACCACCTTTAGTTCACTTGACATTGGACAAATCAGGTTTACAATTTGATGTTTTCATGACCAAAGTCTGCAAAAGGGAAACAAATGAGGTTGTTAATTGTCTATAGAAGTAAAACAAAGTGAATTCTGTTCTAAATTTATGAGAAATTAGTGGCATGATTTCATTTTCATCTGCTTTCTGGATGGCCCCCACTGTGCAATAGGGTGACTAATATCGACAGTTGATTTATTGAATTAGTGTATATGGGGTGGCCTTTTTCTATGTCTATCTCACTGCCATTAATCCATAGATGGAGCAATGAAGAATTATGGCTTGCTACTGGAAGTAGAGGAGTGGCTCCCCTTATGCATCACTTAAAACTCTGCAGTGCGTACACTGGAGTTCCTGTAAGATTTTAATTCTTTCATGGCTGTGTATTGTGCGCCCCAGTTTTTGAAATTCTGCAGCAACTATACTGGATTTCATGTATGTCTTTTAACTTCTTTTATTGTTTGCTCTAACGAGACAGTTTTTGTCAATTCCAATGGTGATACGGTAGTTATCTCGACGTTTCTGTACTTTTTTCACTTTAATGAAATATTGGCAATGTAATCTCTTTTATTACATTATTTTCTGTCTCATTTACTCAGGGAAGCTTCAGCTTCAGAACAAGAGATAAGATAGGTGAACCCTTGGCAACATCATACCACTCTAAGTTTATGGGAACAGTGGATTATATATGGTAGTTTTATGGTTTTACTTAGAAATTGAGTATCATTTATTTGCATTTGAATGCATTGTCACTGATGAAATTTGTGATATAGGCATACGGAGGAGCTTGTTCCTGTGAGAGTTCTTGATACCCTACCCATCAAAACATTGAGAACAATGGGAGGGCTCCCTACTAAGGTACTTTTCTTCTTTATACAAAATTATTGTTTGCAATAAGTTTGCTGGCTATATTAATTAACATTAATTATAAAAATGAAATTCTTAGATTTTCTAACTGCTATTAGCAAGCATCCATCTGATGGTGAGCACCATCGAATGTCACTAGGTTGGATCCAATAGTGACTTCCTGTGTTCAACAACCTTGTGCATGCATGCGAGAGATGGACTAACTTCTCGTACTAAAAGTGCATTGGAGAGATGCACTTTACAAGATGAACTTATTCAAATTAAAAACTGTTTGGTAAACATGCAACTGAAAGTGGTCGCGAATCAAATACATCTATTTATTTAAAATTATGTTTGGTGGCGATATCTAGATTGATAGAATAGGACTTTTTAACTCTTGACAGCTGTCATACGCGAATACATAATTAGATAAATAAATTATAATCATTGATGAAAAATTAGAATTGCCAACGGGTGGTCTCGTATCGTGTCAAAATTTATTTAGCACATACCAACTTATTTATAATAGTGTATAGCCAGTTTATATTATGTATTAGCATTATATAGTGGGGCTAGTGTTGTGTTTTGTGTTGACCTATTTATGTTATGGGTCTAACAAGTTCACCCCTTTACCCCTCAAGACCCACCAACTCTGCTTTAACTCCATAATATTGCACTAATGTATTCTATATGGAGGACGAAATCAGTGAACCAACAAAAGCTTGTCATTCATTTGAAGACATATACATGAAACATTTTCTAGGAAACTGATTTACATCCATGTGATGGGTAGGACTAGTTTAGTCATTTGATGTTCTCAGGAAGCTATGTCCCCTAACATGCCGGGACCAGGGTACTTGCTGTAATTAGTCAAACGTTAGGGATTCAGGTGTATTAAGTGTAACTCTGTTTTTGTCAACCATAATTTGCCCATCTACTTATGTTGTATGAATGGACGATTTACTCCTTATGCAGAAATGGGGTAGCGATCATCTTGCTCTTGTATGTGAACTGGCTTTTGCTGATGATAGTGGAACGTGACTTGTGGGAAGCAGCTTATTTAATAGTTGGTTCAAAGACAGCTGGCATATGGCAATGTTTATTGAATGTTTTTTCAAAAGTAGGTGTGTCAAAATTTCCTATAGGCTACGATTACATGTTGAAATTATTATTTTTCTCAAATAGTAAAGTATATTATTCTAAAATTTTATAACAATAGATACAAAGTATATCCACCGGATTTCTAGGGATAACATAGCTATCTATTCGGATAGGTCTTCATGACTTGCAAATAGAGTTAGATTCTCATTTAAACTTTAGTGTAAAAAAATATATATGTTTTTTGAGCACACTTGGTTAAGCTCTGTTCAACACACTTCCTTGCTTGGGAATGACCCACCGAGCAGATCATTCTCAATTAATTTTTATCATGGTTGGGTCTTTTATTCAATCTGTCTATCTGCTCGGCTGAGGCTAAATCTGTTATGTTGTGGCTCTTGTCACCTCAAATAGCTCATGCTAATTGCCACGTGAGTTGGTCCGGTTGTAAAATCATGGCCAAACTTATTTTGAACCCACCTCGGCTACTAAGTAAGAAAAATATTACTGTTAAGATGAATGCGTAGTAAAATAAGAACTATATAATTAAAAAAATATGATGAAACGGGTAGACGTAATCGAATCAAGTGGTTTAAACATGTATAATAGAAGATTTTATTATAATTATCTCTCTTTCTTTTGCCCATGTATCTCTCTATGACTTTACCTATATATCTATATCTCCATGTTTTATGAGTGAGGAAATGGGATGTGACATCTAGAGGGAAATAAAAAATAAGGTTTAGTGGGGTAATACATGGTATAATAGGTTGTGGATTAGCAAAGATATATAACCTTTCATGGACCACACTGCCAGAAAATGATTTAATTCAGTTGACACCAAATAGGTAGAAGTATATTTTGTTGAGTTCTAGTAATTTTTCGTTACTATTAGGGTGAATTATACACGGACCCCTAAGGTTTGTCATTGAATCATATAAACCTCCTCAAGTATGGAAAATAACATCACCATCCCTCTAGGTTTGGTCCCATAGAACACATAACCCCTAGTCGTTAAGGTCCATTTGTTAAACTATCAAACTGTCAAAACTTTGATCATATAAGCATATTTTCCTCCTAAAATTTCCAAGTTACCCATACTTGACACAAAAAATAAAAAATCCAATAACTATTTTATTTCTTTAAAAACACAATAAATTAAATACAATATTCCTTTAAACATCCTCCATATTCTCTCTTAATCCATTGTCACAAACCTACCCCAAAACCCTAAACCACCGCCCATTGCCACCACCAACTAAAATCTCAACCACTGCCACCACAAAAAATTTCACCATTCCTTATTTACCACTAGTGAGTGACTTAATAACCATGGCATGAACTTTTTGGGAAACATTAGCATCTGCCATAAACTCAGCTTCGGTATTAGTTATAATAAAAAAGGACTGCCCCTCTACCTGAGGAGGTTTGCTCGGCACCCCTAACTGTTTGGAAGGAACCATGACAATCTTATGGGAACCCCATTTAAACACATAAACGTTTTTCTTACCTTTGTAGGTAACATCTACATCATATTGCCACAGTCGCTCTAACAACACATGACTGACATCCATATCAACTACTTCACTTCGGCCTAATAGTACTTCCCAATGGATATAGGCACACGACAAATCTCGGTAACTTCGACTATTGGTGCCTTTTTGATCCAACCAAAACTATAAGTGAATGGGTGAGGTTCAGTGGATAACTTGAGGTGGTCAACCAACCTCTTTGCAATGAAATTTTCACAACTCCAACTGCACACTATCAGGTCACAAACCTTCTGGTTAATACTATAGTAGGATCGAAAAATTTTATGCCACTGGTTGGAGTCTTCTGTTTTCGGTTTACATAATACTCATTATACCACGTAGCTAACTCCGTCTCCACCTTGTCACCTCGGCACCATAACATGGGGTGTTATCATACTCTCTAGTTCCATCATCCTCTTCTTCCACTTCCTCTTCTATGAGATTAACAGGTCAGTGTTCGTGACACACATTTGAACGGTGTCCGATTTTTCCGCATCTATAGCACTCTTTAACTTGAAAGCTACCAATTTGACCTTCTCATCGGGAACCTCCATCATAATTCACCTTAGAAATCCAATCAAGGAAATCCTCGATATGTAGATTCCCGTTGAACTAGGGAATGTCCGTTTTCATTTTATAATTGTTGGAGTATAGATAGTTTAGGTTTATTAGGATTTCTTTTCCCTTTAGGATTTCTTTTTCCTTTTTTACCCTTACTATGATTTTTATATTTTGCCTATATATACGGGGTTTTACTCTTAATTTGAGTATCTCCTTTTACTCACAATTATTTCAAGTTGGTATCAGAGCAAGGTTAGAGTTTGAGGTAGGATTAGTGTATGGCTCTACCAGCCATACCGCCGAAACCACCCTGGCCATCAGCTGCCAAGCGAAATCGACCAAACCAGCGACAAAACCACTCCTACTGCTAGATCATTGTCCAGCCCACTGCTGGGTCACAACTTTCGTTGTGATTTTATTCTAGGACTTTTTTGGGAGGGAGCGGATCCTCTTTTCTGTTGATCTGCCCTTGATGCAGTAGATCACTTATTTATATATTTTGGATTTCTGGGCACCGTGACTTGATTATTTGGGAGCTTTTTGGACCTTCCCTATTTGTCGCTACTGTTCGACTGAAGGTATATTGTTCTCCCTTATTTTATTCCTCTATTTATCTTAGAGTTATTTTTCTGTCACGGGTGCCCTAGTATTGTTGTTGATATGACTACTACTGAGGGACTTGAGAACCCTACTGTTGACACCTCTACCGTTGAGACATCTATGGGTACTTCCACTTTTATGTTTGACCAGTATACAGTGCCTACTAGCACAGTTGCATTACCAGCATTACCGGGCATGATCTCTCAAAAAGTTACGGCACAATTGTTGAATGGTCGTAACTTCGCTGAGTGGTCACGCTCATTCCAGCTTTTCTTAGGCCGTGTAGGGAAGCTTGGTTGGCTGACGGGATCTCACCCAAAGCCAGCTGATGCCGACCCTGGATATTCTGCATGGTTCTCTGAAAACTGTGCCATTCTTGGATGGTTATTTGGCTCAATGGAGCCCTCTGTTTGCAAGATCCACCAGTTTCATAGCTCTGTTCCGAAGCTATGGAGCGCATTATCAGAGATGTATTCTCAGTCAGGACGGGGAGTTCGTGTTTATGAGCTTTCTCAGGAGCTCTCATATGCTCGGCAGGGAGATATGACCGTTCAGGATTATTATGGCTATTTGACCCAGCGCTGGCTTGAGTATGAGTCTCTACGTCCTCTTGCTGCTATTCCGAAGATAGAGCCCGAGGGAGCAGCATTCTTGCATACTCGAGAGCAGGAGGATAGGATTCACAAGTTCCTTATGGGGCTTCGTAATGAGTTTGAGGGACCTCGTTCTCAGATCTTGATCGATATGGTTGAAACGCAAAGATTTTATATCCGATCTCTGCTTATGTTTCTTATGGTAATCTGTCTCCCACATTTCGAGCTTATACTATGACCTTATCAGATACGCTGGTTCCTCGCTCTATTTCGGAAGCTATGCGGGAGCCCCAGTGGGTTCTTGCCATGCAGACAGAGATGGACGCTCTTCAGCGT